CGATCAAAGATAAGCATGTAATAGTACTGTCAGAGTTCAAGATCTTTAAATATAAAGGTAACATATTTTATAACTAAAATTCTTATTAAAGGCCACTAAATATAAATTTTATCTTATACATGTCTCAAATTTGTATGAAAGATATGCATGTCATCGTAAATTATGTTAATAATATATCAACTTATTGAAGAAATAAGAGATAGATAAGCAAACCAAGCAAACATCCATATAACACGATAAAAAAAATATTATACTTTTAAAGCTAATATGCATGGCTCATTCAAAACAAGCTGCTAAAATAAAAACATCTCATAAAGGCTCTTTATAAATACAACACAAATTTAAATTATTTAATATTTTTAAAAATAACTTAATTTTTTTAGTAAAACCAGAAATCTTTAGAAGTGATTTTCATAAACTCTTTTAATTTTTTTATATAGTTATGTGGATGCATTTATCATATAAAAGTGTAATAGAGTTAGTATTAATTTTTATTTTATAATTTTTTTCTAAAGTCTATCAGTGATTAGCAAAAAATTTATAATCTCCTTAGTTTCATTCTAGCCCACTTTTAACTAATCATTATGTCTTATTGGCTTTAATTATTCATCCTTCTTTTATAACATTATCTTTTCAAGTGTTTTTCACTTTTATAACATTATACCTTCTTAAGCCAAGCTTGGTTTCATGCCGATCTAAATAACGTGAAAATTCAAATTAGCTTTAGATTATAGTTATTTCTTATCAATTCAATTATTACATAAAAAATTTAAATTTAGCGTAGCCCATTCAAACAAACATTAAAAAAATAATAATTACAATAGTAAAGTTTCAAAACATAAGTGAGAAAAACAATCAAAATAGAACTGAGAAATAAATTTTAGTAAAGAAGTAAGTCAAAAATACTTAATCATAATATTTAACACGTGCATAAATCCTAGTATATACATACATGTATGTATATGTATATAAATATATATATATATATATATATATATATATATATATATATATATATATATATATATATATATATATATATATATATATATATATATATATATAGAGAGAGAGAGAGAGAGAGAGAGAGAGAGATTAATGGGTATCCTTGTCATAGGAGGGGATTTCCTCCTATGACGCCTCTAAAATCACATGATTGAGCGA